AGTGCCAAAGGAATGCGGTACTCTGAAAGCGTAGCTTATTTAGTGACTCTAGTCCCGCTCGCCCTTGTGACGCCAATGAATGCCAGACCAGAGGCCCTAATCTGGAGTCTGGATGACACTTGGCGAGAAACTCTGCGAGAAATCTGGCGGGCGTGATTGCCCAACGCCGCACTTGACTTTGGCGCCGGCCAATCAGAGCCGCGGGATTTCTCGCCGACTTTTTCGCCAAGTGTCCAGATTAGGGCCCCAGGCTGCGCATGTCAACCTTCAAGGTCGCCATGTCAATCGCAAGCAGAGGCCGCGCGCTGGAGGCTTTCAAAGAGAACCCAACGGGGGTCTCCGTGTCCCCATTGCGAATCACTGCGCACGTGACTCGGAAGACTGTTGAGAGTGGTATTGTTTTAATTTTTTTTAATCCGAAAGCATTAACTGTCTTATGGGGCGAGCTGACGTCATCAGTTTGAAGCGCGAAAACGGCACCTAGTTTCCGCGGTGGATTTCGCCTTCGGTTCCATTGGCTGGAGCGCGTCGACGGGGCTCCCATTGGCCACTGCGCTCGTCAGTTTCCACGACCGCTCACCCCATGGCGCTGCGTGTCCATCAGCGCGCCGTTAACACGGAGCATCCAAGGTCACCAGGGGAACACGCGCGCTGACCGGCGACGAAAAGTACGTAGCAGACGACAGAGGGAGCGGATGAGCATCTTGGGTGCTTTCGCACTCACAACTCATGAGAAGTGCTTAGGTGTACATCGAGCTTTTTTCCTTTTAAAGAACTAATGCGCGCAGCCAAAATTGGTTTTCAGTTCTTTAATCCTGACATGACAGGGAACACCACCACAATTATTTGGCGGCAGAAAGACGATTCGTAGCAGGTCAATTGGTAGCAGGGCAGTTCGTGACATGGGCATTTGGTCATAGGGTCGATTCGTCGCGGTGACAGTTCGTCAGTCTATTGAAAGAACTTTGTTTCTCTGTGCCATTGTTCCAGTGCCGAGCAGATTCCTCCCAAAAAACAAACTTCGGGTGAGGGAGTTCACACCAATGTTTTGAGTCCTTTCCAGATATTGCATTGCATATTGTGCATCACCGAATATCTGAATGGTCCTGGACTCGCTCAAGAAAGAACAGGCACTGGCCGAAATGAAGAATTAAGTCAAGCCGCAAGCCGAGTCCTTTCGACAATGATGTCGAGGAAGCAAGATGCACGGGACAAGCGCCTTCAATCAATTCTTCGACGCTACGACAGGACCGAGAGCACAGACACTTTGGGGCGTGCGCCCGAAACATTTCACCATGAGTAGCTGACGTTTGCAAGTCCGGCTTCCGGGCGCTGCCATCTTGGTCACTAGGGTGCACTCGGACGCGTCCTAAACCGATTACGAAGCATTGCTAAGGCGTCATAATCGGATTATGGCCGCGCCCAAGCGCGCCCCATTGGGCAAGATGGCGGCGCCCTGGCGCAGCTCTGACGTCACGCCTCTGCGGTGGCGCTGTTGTCGCCTCGACGGATGCGCAGAAGCTTCACCTCGCTCGAGTTTGGTTCCTGCGCTCTCGCAGTGGCCACAATGTGGGCATGCATACGCGGACTTGTTTGGAAACACTGTCAAACTTGCATACTTGCCCCATCTTCAGACTAGTCACCAGACAGCGTCTATTGGGAAAGTAGCAGCGATTGAACCAGCTATTAAAAGAGACTCGAAGCATTTGTGTCGATAGGGCCTCGCCCGAGGTTTTTCATTTGGGAGCAACCTGCTCGGCACTAGACAGACGGCACGGGTAAACAAGATTCCTTGAATAGTCTGATTAACTGTCAGCACGACGAATCTCCCTACGACGAAATGCCCTATGTGACGAACTGCGCGGACAGTCCTACAGCCCGGGGACGTTAGAACGCTGAGCTCTGATCCGAGTGATTAGTGACCTAAAGCTACAGCTGCCTTTGTCTCCGCTGCACTCGTCGAGCACGTTAGAAGTTAGAACGCGGAACGCTATAGCCTTCGGTGTTTGGATTTCTCATTGGAACGCGTTCGACCAGTGCAGTGGAGACAAAGGCTTTAGGTCTGCCCACTAATCGTTCGAGTCGGAGCTCGGCCAGCACCACATAGACAGAAGGCGTCCGCATGGTCTTATCTCCCTCTGTATGAAACGTCATCAGAGTCGGATGGCGCTAACTCGGCTATTGGGCCCGAGCCCGACCTTCGACACGCTGATTGGACCCGAGCCCCAGCCGAACACTGACACAGCACTCGTGTCCAATCTCACTCCTCGATCTGACTGTGATGACACGTGCGAAGGGCTTCTGTCTCGGTGGTGTTGGCTCGGCGTTCTGACGACCCCGCGAGCTCTCGTCTCCCCCTCTCCCCCAGTTTCTCGGTGCTGTGTCTGCCCTTTCTATTGTGTGGAAGGGGGTGAAGTCGACTGGCATACTTTGCTTCTTTCGTTGCTGCAGATGAACTAATGTGGGCATGCCCATCACTTCATAGTCATTCCTGCTGAACTGGCCGTCTGGTACGTTGGAGCAGAGAGATTGTGTGCGTGGTACATTACAGGTGAGCATCCAGAAAGAACCCCCCCCCCCCCTTTCCCCCCCCCCCCCCCCCCCTTAACATATTGCTTCTCTTCATTTGAGGAAAAAAAAAAAAAAAACTCGAGATACACCTAAGCACCTCTCACGAGTTGTAAATGCGAAAGCATGCAAGCCGCTCGTCCGCTCCCTTTTTCGTCTGCTGCGTACTTTTTGTCGCCGGTCAGTGCGCGTGCTCCCCTGGGTACGCTCACGCAGCGCCATGGGGTCAGCGGTCGTGGAAACTAAGGAGCCCCGTCAACGCGCGCCAGCCAATGGAACCGAAGACGAAATCCATCAGCTTTTGCTTCGCTCCTTTGGGATCGGGGAAACTAGCTAGGTGCCGTTTTTGCGCTTCAAACTGAAGACGTCAGCTCGCTCCATGTGACAGTTAATGCTTTCGCATTAAAAAGAAAAAGAAACTCCTTTTTGTGAAGAGTAGCCAAGCAGTATTGGCTCTCCACTACACTATATAGCAGACTAAGCAGAGCCAACTCTGAAGAGGAGGCGAATTGTACGAATCCACTCAGTCCACTCACCTCCTCTCCAGCGTTCTTATTGTTGAGCAGATTTTCCGTGTATGTGTCGTCCTCTGCTTACCTGCAGTCTCGGGGTTATGTTAATATAACAGAACCCCGAGACTGCAGGTTAAGCTTCGAAGCTTACCCTGCTTTTCTTGGCAATATTTTGCCAAAACCTGCACAAAAAGCTTTTTCTTTGTTGTTTTAGCTAGCCGTCGGGTTTTTACCCCAAACATTTTTTTTTTTTTCATTTTTTGCCAGGCGATTTACTATGGTGTCGGAATAGTACCCAATTAATATTTTGCAATGGAGTCACGTATTTTTTAATAAAGCCAAAAAACGCAACTGCTCAACACCGAAACCGAAACCCCCGCACCGCAGGGAGAAGTGGAGAGGAGAGAGGGAGTAGCGGAAGTCACGTGGCTACACTCAACCGTGTCAACGCGTGCGATCTTTTTTTCTTTTTTTTTTTTCCGCGCGTAGGAGACGAAATACGAAATGCGTTGCGGGATTCGTTCGCCGTGCGATTCCTTTGCAGCTATGTTTTTTCCGCTCGCTGTTTTGTACTTCAAGATAAGTTGTTTTGTAGTGAGTAGTGAGTGCCCGTGGTGAATTCCGTGATCGGCTCCGAAAAGAATACTATCAAGATGTTGCGTGAAGAGCTGCCTCACATGTCCTGCATCTGAAAGTGGCATTGTGCGGCAAAGTGCACAAGTTTCCGAAAGATCAACGGGTCGGGATCAATGGCTCGCTGCAATTCGTGTAGAACAGTTACGGGAACCTCGGAAAGCGGACGCCACCCGATTCATATGCTCCTTGCATTTTGTCGAAAGTGACTACATTGGGTTCGCAGGTGTCAAATATGGAATCCAATACCATTTAGTTCAGCGACGTATCGTCCACAACAATTGTTTTTTTTTTTAGTGATAATTGTAAAAAAAAAAAAAAAAAATGTAAACATTGCAAAATGCATAACAAAAAAAAAAAAAAAAAAAAAAGTCTACTCACACCAGGGATTGAACCCGTGTCCGTTGCGTGTGAAGCGAACGTCTTTCCACTGAGCTTTTTTTCTCTTTATTGAACTCAACATTGCAGCACAGAATGCTATGTCATTACAAGGAGCTCACGCCCAGCGACTTCTGGGCGGACTAAAGTTCTCTCATGTTCTTAATTTCACTGAATAAGTGTGCCCACTCAGGCGTAGTTTCTGGTGTTCTGCAATACACCGTTTGAACCTCGTTTACAATATCGATAAAATGCTTCTGTACAGACTTAATTTTTGGGTCAGCATGCCGAAATTCCATCCTTGTTTTCCAAATGCTAAACAGGCCGAGTATCATAAAAAGATCGTAGGGCACAGTGTCACTTTCTTCAACAGGTAAATACCTAATGGTCTCCGGGGACAACATAAAATCTTTTTTCAGGGTCCTTTGAAGAATGTCCCAAAAAAACACAGCATCCCAACAATAAATAAAAACGTGTTCGATGGTTTCTGGTGTCTTACACAGGAGACAATCCACCGACCAAGGAACAAAGATTCCCTTATCTCTTAGCCATGGCTTGACTGGCAATGTCTCGCTGTGCAATTTAAAGAAAAAGGACTTTACCCCTGGTGGAACACACATCCTTTTCACACGCTGGAGCACATCTTGACCCGGACATTGGCTGTACACCGATCGATACAGTGGCGCAGGGAAAAGGAGCTCAATCAGGTCACGACTGAGCTTCTTTTTAGTGACACTACCCAGGTAGTCCATCGAAAAACGCGCTCGCAAAAACAATACAGCGTCTTTCACTTCTTTTAAATAACCAGAAAAACAAGGGGGTTCAGTACATTCACTAGTCACCAACACTGCCGGCAAAGAGTTCGCCAGTCTCACCTGGATAATTGCTCGTAGGAAGGGATGATTCTGGTCGCGTAGGAAAAAGAAGCGCGAAACAATCTTACGGACGAAAAGATGCGAGAGGCCAAGGCCTCCCGACTTGACGCTCCGGAAAAGGTTATCTCTTCTCATCCTTTCCCACCCGGACCTCCAGATGAGAGTGGCGAACACCCTATGGAACTTTTGGATACTCATTCGTGTACATGCCAAAACTTGCATAATGTACCAGATCTTTGCGATTAAAAAAATATTACACACTGTGGCGCGCGCAAAAATTGACAAGTTCCGACTGACCCAAGTGTCCGCCTTCGTCTTTAAATCTTTTGCGAGCTCCGTCCAGTACGGCGTGCTAACTTTGTAATATTCCAAGGGCACCCCAAGATATGTACATGGCGTCGTTTCCCAATTAAAGCCTGCAAAGTAATGCGGTTTTAAAGCCCACCTCCCGTGCCACACCCCACAACATTTCCCCCAGTTCACTGCCGCTCCTGTGGCGTTACAATATTCTTTCGTGAGAACGACAGTTTCCATGACGCTTTCTTCGTCTTTACAAAAAATAGCCACATCGTCAGCGTATGCGGACACTTTAACTTCAACATTATTGAAAAGAAACCCCCGGATATTCTTGCTAGCTATCACGCTCACACAGAAAGGTTCAAGGTACAGAGCAAATAGTAAGGGTGAAAGGGGACATCCCTGTCTGACTGACGAAAGCACTGCAATTTTCTTAGAAACATTATTATTTAACACCAGCCTGGTGGTACAACCTTTATACGCCATATCTACGCCCTTTAGGACAACTTTGCCTACATTAACATGCAATAAAATACTCTTTAGAACATCATGTCTAACTCTATCAAACGCTTTCTCCAAGTCTAATTGTATCATTGCCACTTTATCCCTCCCAACAGCTTCAAAAATGCTTCTCGCTATATGAATATTAGTTTGAATGGACCTTCCTTTAATGCCACATGTCTGGTGATCCCCGATGAGGTCTCGAATGACACACTGGAGCCTACGCGTAATAATCTTAGTGAAAATCTTGTAGTCTATGTTACATAATGTAATCGGCCTATATCCCGTCACGCTGAGCCTTTTCGACAAGTCCTCCGACTTCGGTATCAGTATGGTGTGGGCCTCTACAAAGGAACGCGGTAGACAGTAATTTTCGAATGACTCATTAAATACGGCCAACAGTACGGGACTAAGGGTATTTTTAAAGGTTTGGTAAAATTCTCCACAAAGCCCATCAGGCCCCGGGGTTTTCTGTCTCGCTAGCGAATCTATTGCTCGTTCAACCTCTCCTAGCGTGATTTCTCCCTCGAGCCACGTTGTAACCTCCTCATCCAACTTGGGCATGAGTGACAGAAAATCTTTAAATTTACGAAATCCTACGGGAGTCGGTTTTTCCCCAAAAAGTTTCCCAAAGTACTCAACAAAAGCTTCTTCTATAACATCTTTATCGCTGCTAATTTTCCCTTTATATTCTATTTCTCTTATTTCTCGAGTCAGGGCATACTTCTTTTCCTCAGCCAGAGCTCGCTTAGTCGGCTGTTCTCCCAACAGAAATTTCTCCGAGCGTGCCCGCACAACTGCCCCTTTATACTTTTCATTGTATATTTGATCTAACTCCATTTTGATGTGCCGAATGTCATCGCCGCAAGTTCCAGGGCGCTCACACTCTACTCGACACAATGCGTTAAGGTCTTGCTTCAACTGCCTTTCGCGAGCTCGAGCTTGGAAGGCGATGTTACTGGCCCTTTCTACCGCGGCCAACTTAACTCCCTCTTTGAATCCTTCCCAGGCTTCCCTGATACAAGTCTCTTTTTCGACCACACCCCGCAACAGCTCAGCGACAGTGGTTGCAAAAAGTTTATCATTCAAAAGTGTTCGGTTTAATTTCCAAAGATGCCAGTTAAAACGAGACGCTCTGCTTTCTTTCCTGCCAATTTTTACGCTTACGAGGCAGTGGTCAGTAAAAAAAATGGGCTGGACACGGTAGCCGTGCACAGTGCGCAGTACGTCAACTGTAACATAAATACGATCTAAACGAGCGTGTGACCTATTTTGAAAATGCGTATACCTTACGCCACTTCTTATGGTGCATAAGGCACCGACGTCCTCGAGCCCACACACATTTACAATTTCTTTCATAAGTCTCGAACTGCTGTCACCACTCGTGGCCGCTCCAGTACTATCCCGCTCGTCACAGACACAATTAAAGTCACCCATGCACACGATCACTTTGTCGCACTCCAGATAATTACGTAGAAATTGAAAAAAAACTTCTCTATCCTTCGCGTTATTGGGAGCGTAGATACATATCACTCGCCACTGGACATCTGACAGCGTGAAATCACAAGAAATGAACCGCCCGCACTCATCGATAACAACTTGCAAGTTTTCATAGTTCACAGACTTTCTTAAAAAAAGAAAACAGCCCCCCGACCGACCCGCAGCATGACTAGCGGCAACTTCATATCGCCGGAGATAAGGCCTCAGCGCTCTCTCGATGTTCTCTTCTGTCTGCAATTTAGTTTCTTGCACCGCAAGGAAGTCCGGCTGCTCGTCCTCTACCAGACGCTGCAGTTGGTACTGCTTCCTCGACGAGGCCAACCCACGGACGTTTAAAGTGGCGAAACTAAGAGACATATTACTATCAAGGAGCTAAAATAGAGAGAAGGCTAAGCTACGATACAAAAAGCCGCTTAAGTCAAACAGGTAAACACATACAAAAAAATACAACATTCTTACTTGTACTAGGCCGCCTAAGCAATATTATTCAGCCGCAGTACAGTTCCTTCACTATGGAGCCTTCGGCACGTGCCTCCGGTGGTCCTTGAGGGGGGGCGTGGCGTCGGCCCCTCTTCGAAGTCACCGTCTGCCACCTCTGGAGTACCCTCTCCTGCAGGTTCTGCGGTTGACTGGGCTCCTGGGTTGGTGTCGGTTCCAGGGAACGCTTGGCAGAGCCGCTCACGGCGTCCATCTCGCCGTCCTTCTGGTCGTTCTCCCTTTCAACGGCAGCCAGGGTCGACTCCCGGCAGGCGTAGTCGTGCTCGCGCTCGTCCCCCTGCAGGGCCGAAACGCGTGCGACGTCGTCGCCCACCGGTTTCGGGGTGTCCTTGTTTTCTGCGGGGAGCTCGGCCGTGGTGGACGTCTCGGGTGGTGGGACGACGACGGTGGTCTCGGCTCGCCTCTGAGGTTGGCTGCCCTCCGAGTTTCCGCCTGCCGCGTCCTCAGCTTCATCCTGGTCCATGAGTAGCTCCGAGGCGTCGTCCTCAGGGCCGCCGTTAGCCACGTCTGCGTAGGTTTTCTTGCAGTCGTCGCGTAGGTGTCCGAAACGCCTGCAGCTCTCGCAGCGCGGCACTCGGCACTCCCTACGAATGTGGCCGGTTCGACGGCACCTGAGGCAGAGCGGAGCTCTACCCGGGGCCAGCACCAAGGCCGTGCAGCCTGGGAGTCGTAGTTGGTGCGGCAGGTTTTCGAGCGTGACGCCTTCCCTTAGGGTCAGCCTCACGACTCGGGTGGTCGACTGCACACCTTCGAAGCCTCCGACACGCCAGGTCTCTCGGGCGACGTCTTCAACCTTGCCGTACGGCTCCAGGGCCTTCTTCACGGTTTCGTCCGAAAGGTGAAAAGAAATCCAATGAAGCTTCAGCCTCACCTCGGCCTTCTCCGGGTCGACGACGATGCAGCGTCTCCCTTTGGCCTCGAAGGACGCGGCGTCCACCAGCTTCTTCTTGGCCGACGGTGTTTTCAGAGTCACCATCCACACGTGGTTCATCTGAAATGAACCACATGCGGCGATTTCGCCTAGTACTCCCGCTTTCTCGAGTCCGGCTTTAAAATCTTCAATGCGATAAGGCCGCGCCGTAATGTCGGCGTGCAGAAAGACAGAATTCAGGGCGTGAACGCCCTTCGGCAGGGGAGGCAGTACGATCCTGTATCCTTGGGAGCCTAACTCAGCAGAAATTCCACGGCTATCAGCGGCCGTTACCGCTCCGACGGAGCTCATCGCGATACGTCTTGATAGCTCGGAAGCCAGGCGACGAATCCCCCTTTCCACTGAGCTACGGAAGGAAATTTTTTTTTTCTCTCTCAAAAGTGTTTATTTACATTTACACGAGAACACTATATACAATTTAGATTATGTACAAGCGTCAAAGAAACAAAATAATTGAACGGTTATCACCCTATACACTGAGAGTGTTACTAGAAATATGCGGAGGGCAAGCCTGATTGGCTGATCGCGACCCCCTATCTGAGCGTCGTCTGCTCCTTTGCAACGCCGTCTGCTCGCAACATCGTCTGCGCCTGTCTTACTTTTCCTGCGACTTCCGGAAGCGCAGGTCTTTACGAGCGAGCTCGACTTCGCCTTTCAGAGAGCGGTGAATCTCCGACAGTGAGATTCACCGCTCGAGTGACATCATTAATCACATATGAATTGAGTTATGCAGCAACCGAAAAGGTACCTGCAATATTCCCATTCTAATTTCGCTTCCCCTAAATGGCATGCTTCGCGAATCGACAACTTCCACGAAAATCTAGAGCCCTTATTCTTGTAATAGTTTCAAATTATTGGAAGTGTTTTAACTTCTAACTTGCCCTCTGTTAATTAATTACTGGTGTGAACAGTGAAGGAAGTGACATAGGCAAGAACAAAATTTCGTCGGTTGAAGCAGATTTATCGGGATCAAACTACTTCGTAAATGCTCTTTTAATAACTGAACCCTCGTTTCGTAAACAAACACAGACTTCCACATTTAAAGGAGCGGTGCAACGAAATTCACTTGGAATGTTTTTCGCTTTACACGAGCTTACTGGGACTAGTGGGACTCAAGGATACTCGCACGCAACGCCACTGCCCAAGAAACGCCTTCGTTGCGGTGTAATTTCGAGGAGAAAAGCGATAATTTTCATTCAATCTCTCCTTTGCAAATTTTGATGACGTAACGTGGGGATCGCAGTACACCCAAGTGACGATATTTGAATGCGGTTCATAGATTGGACCCGAGCATTGCGTGGGAACTCGAATTGGGCTCGTGATAATTACTAGCTCGAGAAGCATTCGGGTATATGGCCCGTGTCCAATTGCTGCAACGACGACAATAGCCGAGCCATAACAATGTCTGGAACTCGGCGCGTGCCCTGTGCTTGCAGACCCCAGCGCGTGGCTATGATCAACATTGGCGGCATATAATCGACTCCAGATCACGTGACCGCTTGTTCTGGCTGCGAGTTGAGGGGGAGAACGGTGCTTGTTTTTCTTTAATTTTTTTCTGGAACTTCTATTGCGTGGGGTGAAAAACGGACGCGTGTTTCAGCGGTATTTGCGCAAGGTACAAAAATTGTTGCATCGCCCCATAGAAAAAACTGCGTGCGATTCTATGACATCGACCGCTGCCGTTCGGGCACATTTCAATTTAAAGAATTTATCATGAGAAGCGAGAAGATATTTTCTTTTTGTATATACACGCTGTCTTTTTGAATGGGGAAAATGTTTCGCATCAGATTTTGTACTAATCTTGTTCTTTTTAAATGCAGTAATTTAGACCTTGGTGGCCATTTTGTTTTGTGACTCAACGTTAAAAAATAAGAAGTTATACCTCAGAGGTTGGTGAAACCATTGCAGTATTCGTATCAGTCGGTGGAAGGAAGAGTGTTCAGTTGCACTGGCAGACCAGATATCGGCTTTAGAGCACTTCTTTGCAGTCAGTACCCATCGAAAACTGTTGAGGGGCGTCTTAGGAGGGAGAAGATTTACGGGCACCTTTTCGCTTTTTCCAAACTTATCGTTCTGGAATAAAATCCATATGGAGTTTCGCTAAAAGGTTTAAAACAACATGTGTGCACCATGTGCGTCGCTTGCTTAGCGCTTGCTTAACTTCCTGCCCACAATTGTCCGTAAAACACGCTAAGGGGGCCCCAGTACAAAAGAAAGCTCCATAACCGTCCTTCCGGCAAGCTCCAATTAAAAAAAAAAAAAAAAAAAAAATCTGACAAGGGGCATGGGAGGCCGTGTTAAATTTTGTTGTTCTGGCACGCTCTTGTACAACGAGCTTACAAACGCCAGCTGATCTAGAGACGGGAACTTTATGGCATCCTTGTTTCCTTGTTGAGGAAAAGAGAACGAGAAGGCCATTGCGCCAGAGGCCCTTCGGAGTGTTTTTTCTGCTTTCTGCCTAAACTTTCTTAAATAAAAATAAAAATAAAAAACGACTAACATTTATAAATTTTCAGGGGCCAGCATGGGGCCCCCTGACAGCCTGGGGCCCAGGGCTGCAGCCCCCTTAGCCCGTACCTTAATCCGGCCCTGAGCCCAGTGGTGGCTGTTTCAAGGGGGGGGGGGGGGGGGGGGGGGGCAAAACACATGCCTTACCCCCCCTTTCTGAGAACTGGGGGGGGGGGGGGGGGGGGAGGGCAAGCACCAAGATGGCGGCGCCCACACAACATTATCGGGGAATAGAGCCAGCTCTCTCGTGGTGATGGTTACTGCCTCGGTGTTCTTCAAGTATACCGGAAAGCCGACGCCCTGCTCCTCCCCCGATCTTCTCTCCGCTTGGTGGAGGGAGTCGCCCTGTCTGGAGACGGACCATAACGTCTTCGTTGCCCGGGCTCCGATTCCCGTGGCTACGGTACGCGCCCCAGCTGGCGGTTCTCTGGGCGCAGTGGGATCTGCGACGCACGCACACACACGCATACGCTGGCAGGGGGCGAAACCAAGTTCACATCGCAGTTTGTTTTCCAAAGAGTGGCACAGCCGGGAAGACAGTCTGCATACAAATTCGAACGCGAGTCACCGCGAGATCCGCGCTTCGAATGCCGCATGCCAATGAGTTCGAGGATAAAACTTGGCAGGCAGCATTCGAACCACGGATATTGCGGTGACTGATGTCGGCAGACTGCCCTTTGTATAATGTATGAACAGTGTGACCCCGGCTTCAGTCTAAAAATTTTGTCCGCGACATGTCTGCCTGCTTTTTATGGGTGGTTGGATATTCCGGCTGTTTCTTTCATACGGAAGAAAGAAAAAAAAAATGTTGGCCACGCATTTGCCAGCAACGTTTTCCTAGAAGCAACTAACACTTTCGCTTGCAACGTTTTTCATAAAATGAATTACTATATATATATATATATATATTTTTTTTTTTACACATAAGTCGTTTTATTGGTTTTACAGGTTCGGATCGTTATATAGTTTCCTTTGTGCACTGAGATGGCACAAAGTGCATTCCAAAGCGCGTCTTTTTTTTTTTTTTTTTTCCTTTTTTCCCCTCTTTACAGGTATAGTATTTAGCGTGCACCAACTTTTCAGGTGGACATGGGCGCTTGGGTTCTTGTGAAATTCTGAACCTCTTCCCCCCTTTCCCCAAGCTGACTTTTCACCCTAATTTGTGTCATTGGTTCCGCTTGTGCCGGAGCCGCCCTTAATCTCCAGAGACTCCAGACAGTTGACGTCAGTTGATGTATTGATGCCGCGCATATACGAACCATGGTGGGCACGCTCTTGTCAGCTCTGTGTACAACCTAGAGCGTCCATTTCAAATAGAAAGAAACTTTAGCGTAGAGCAACCATGGCGATATATATTTTCCGTCGCTCGTATATGTTTCTTGATTGGCATTAGCAGCGCAAACGTGTTCTGTGCTCATCGTTGTTTACTAGGATACCCGAGGAGCTTCTTTTTGAGAGGCCCAGCAGTGGTGCATGCGCAAACAATCTTTATGCCTAACGTCTGTGTTTCGGTTTCCAAGAAACGGAGATACGTATAGCTTCTCGGGTAACTTGGAGATTCAGGAAGGTCGTGACCGACAATCCTTTTTTCGTCTTCTTGCGAAGATTCTTGTCGCTGACGCGATGTCCACCGATTCCCTCGGGAACCGACTGCCTTCAGGAACCAAGACTGCGGGCTTGAGCGCGCCTGTGGACTATCAGATACAACTCGGAAGTTAAAAGGGGCCATGAAACGATCTTTATAGTTTCGTAAATAGTATCTAGAGTCACTAACTAACGTTAATAACTGACTAAACATGCCTTTGTTTTTCTTTCTAGGCAATGACAGTCGCCAAAAAAAATTCGAGAAATATGAGCATCGTTTATCCCCTCATTTCAGAGCTAGAACTGCAGGCCACGTGGTCTGGTGCCTATCCTATATGCCGCCACCGTTAATCATGCCCATGGTGTTAACGAAGTAGAAACTGCGTGCTAAAATCCGAGCATTGTTAGAGTTCGGCTATTCTCATCACCGCAGTGGTTGGACACAGTCCACTAACCCGAGCGTCCGCCGATGCATTGAATGTTACGAGCCGAAGTCGAGTGCCCACGCAGTTCTGGTGTACAATCTACGAGTCGCGCTCGACTATCGTCAGGTGGGTGGTTTCGATCCCACAATCACGTCATCAAGCTTTGCAAAGGCAAGACTGAAAAAAAAATTGTCCCATTTTATCCTCGCGAAGTTCACCGCGACAGAGAAACGTCTGAACCAGTCGCGGTCTGTAGCGAGTTTACGTGGGCCAGACTAAGTCTCTGCAAAGTCATGAACATTCCAAACCGATATCGTTCCATGACCTTTTTAACGCCCACAACTTCATTCGTTGCACAACAAATACACCGAGGCCAGTTCGTGCGGAGGACGGGGCAGTTATACATCTCTCTTCCCGACGCTGCAAGAACGTATCATGGGGTTTTGCCCACTATTTGTACAGTTACAAAACAAAAGTATAAAGAAACTGAGCGATATTTTCTTCTTTTTTACCTACGCTGATGCGTACGGGTTCTGAAATACAACCTGACAGTTCATATTTTAGTTCAGCATTTACAAACCCAAGCGTAGCCAACCGGAAAAACAGAAAATATTTAAAGGCTGCTTCTAAGAAATTAGGAAGATTAGCATACATCGTCCTGTTAAAGTCCCAGTATCGTTTCAATTCAGACAGGTAAATCACAAATGACCATTACGTGACCGGGTATGCTTCTTTTTTTTTTTTTTTCAATCGCATTGTCGCTTTAGTGGATGCTCACTCTGGAAACAAATGAAATAAATGAAGACGGTGGCGAACATGTCTTGTTCATCCTCGATAACTGGGCACGAAGGTGCAGTTCTGACTCTGTCCAATCACACGGGAGCTGTTGGCCATTAAGTGCAAACCGCACGTAAGCGATTTCGCGAGCGACGAGACAAGCGACGGCGACCCGCTTCGCTGCCGCCTGGTCAGTCGCGCGACGAGGCAAACCGCTTGAAAACGACGGAAGAAATAAACGACCAAGGCGATGAGCGACGTTTTATAGAAATCCAAAAACCGAGCGACGCGACGAGCGACAGTGAGAAATCTTCGTCGCTCGTCGCCGACTCTCGTCAATGCATCGCCGTCGCTCGTCTCATCAATCGCTAAATCGCTTACATGCGGTTCAGCCTTTATACATTGTCCTTCCCGATGCATCAGTGGGCATAGGACATAATAAACACAAAGAGGAAGGACACTGCGCATGCGCAGTGTACTTCCTTTTTGTGCTGTGTATTGATTCAGATTCGCTAAACGCGTGATCAAGTCTCTACTCAGTATTATATTCAGTTTATTAAAATAAAAATACAGAGATGTCCAACCGCTTTGTGGGCTCAAAATGACGGCTTATATACGCGCGTGATTTTATTAGCCGAGTCTGACCCGACGAGTCCTCAAGAGGCCTCCTGGAGACTCGCGCACATTGCACATAGCGCCATTCAGAGGTGGCGCGACTACGAGGAACGAACGCGCTTATACGGATTCTTGCATTCGTTTCCCCAACCGCGTAAGCACTAAGGATTGGAAATCACGTCCCACGCACGTCGAGTAAGAGAGCAAAAGAAAGGTATACACACAATATATAATTATACAGTACAAGGAGGGCGGGCATGCATCGAGAGCAAAGCGCGCCTTGTCACCGACAGCGTATACGAAGCGTGGGGCGTGGCCTATGCGCTCACGCGCTCCGCGATTGGTTCTTGGCCATTCATATCGGCGAGTGCGGCAATCTCATTGGCTGCGATGCGTATAATGAGATGCTCTGCCGCGCCCAACGCTTCTGAAGCTGTCAGTGACCCTGTGAGAGACAAGCTGCGTTCATAAACGATGACGTGAGGCTGAGAGGAGTGAGGGATGGCTCCGGACGACAGTCCTCTTCTCAGTGGTCGATGATGTTGGTGACGAACTGGACGTCGTCTTCCTTGACGCCGTTGCGCTCGCTGCCCATCTTCAGGCCCATGGACAGGCCGATGGCGAACGTGTACACGCGGGAGTCGATCACGTAGCCCTCGTCGCTGTAGTCTGCGCAGAGGACGTGGGCCACCGTGAGTTGCATACCACACGCGATATCTCAAGAGACGCCCGCAGCAGACTGTGTTTGTTACGTTCGGGCCTGTCCGATCCATGCCACCCAGAAGATAAGTCCCGCGCCTTTCCCCCCAGACGTCATTACTACTAGTGAGCATCGACTCCGGCGCGCCAGCGTCTCACGAGGAGCGGGACTCTAGCATGCGGAGACGCCAAGAGGGACGGACGGGTCTGCCATTTTGCGGCGTCTTTTGTCGAGCGGGACCACCAATGATGACGTCATGCGCAGGCCTTTAAGTGCTATTGCGTTTATTTGCATACACCGCACATAAGGTCACAAGAGGTACACCCGTAGCAGGTTTTGTTTTTCTTTCTTTTAAGTCCGTTTAACTCATCGGTGATCTCGTCCAGAGCGTAGACCTTGCTAACCTTTGCATTCCGTATTCAAAATTAGAAAAAAAAAGTGGAAGGGAGGGCCTGACCACTGCTGGGAGCCAAAGCACCACCTGACTCGTGGATAATGGGTATTACAAATTTAACAGCAGCAAAGTGCAGCGCGTCCCAAAGAAAATTTACAGTAGTTTTTTTTACTGCAAAAAGAAATTACATTTTTCCGAACGCTCTTTCCCCTCCCAAAATGTAGCGCAAGCGGTCCGAACCAGGTGCCAAAGTTTCAAAATTAACCGTTATCCTATTAAACAGTTAAAAAGCGATTTCTTTTTTAATTTTCAATAGAAAAATGGGTCCCGTTTTCGCTCGATTTCGATGACTGGCGCCATTTACTCCATGTATTCCAGAGCTCCGTCGAGTGCTGTTTTCCCATTGAAATTTTCAGGAAATCTTTTACTACTGAATAAGATGACGGCTAGTTTTGAAATTCTGGCATCTCAAGTTCGAACTTGTTGTTACAAAAAAAAAAAAAAAAAAAAAGTAAATACTTTTGGGGGACACTTTGTAGATACTGCTCCGAGTCTTCGCATTATGCTAGCAGCAAATGCATTTCGCGTGCAAGGCAAGGGTACCATCTCTTTATGATCACACACAATTGAATGTCGCGTTTTTCTCTTCTCATGCGTGTTGTGAATAGTGGTTAATATTATGCGAGTGTAAAAACCGAAGAGGCCGTTAATGGTGAAGGACGTACCATTTAACCGCTCCAGGACGTCGTTCATGGGAACCTGGACCACCTCGTAGAACTCTGCAATGACAAAACAAGACAACTTAGTTTATAAACTAATCTCATCAGCTGCTACAGGTCCACAAGATCACTTCCAGACTGATGATGGAAAATGTAAAAGGCTGACATCATATCATATCGGTCTTGCTGAACACACGTTGTTTATACATGGATGCGACCGTTGCATCGAATCGCGTTTTGAGGGCTCGATTGGACAGAAGAGGGGCAGAGGGAGATTGGATGGTACGTAATTGGTCTCCTTTTAATTCGATGGGCTTCGATCGCATTCATGCGCGTGAACGTAGCCACCGTTGTGGATCTCTCGGCAGGACACGAGTTTAAAATTTAAATCCACAGGAAGAACTCAGTCCGCTTTCTTTCAAAGAAACTGCAGCTGCCCGAGACTTTCAGGTTGTACATTTTGATCGCCTGCAGCCTTGGTTCTTCATCAACAGCTTGATTCTCGTTCCACTCCTTCTAATGAGGGATGCTGCACCACTCACCTCCTTCAGCGAACTTCTGTTGTGCGTTGAGGTTTCGGAGGTCGTCTCCGTTGATCTACGGAAGAAAAAATCGAGCACAGATCAGGAGGAATGTTGAGGATCAACGCCTCAGTGACTGTGATAGTATATGGTTCGTTATAACGGGAGTTATGCTTATAACGATATCGAAGTTTCACGCGATACCCTCGCTGAATGAGTCTGATTGCTCGATCTCTCTCATGTGCATAAAGTGGCTTAGGCTCGCAACTTGTATGGCTCAGCACTTACCTCTACGGAAACAATCTTTGTGGTGCAGGTCGTGTGAATTGGATCAGATGCAGTCACTGAAAGATACAGGAGAGATTCCTATAGACCTTGAAATTTCAACATCGACACAGTTTTTGCGTGAATGGGCTCACTTCGGGCAAAGGAAATTTTAATACGTGTTGGAAATCGTATACTTACGTGGGCTGACTTGTTTGACGCCCGTCGACGTGTAACCAGTCTGAGAGTTGAGACGGCGCAGCGCAGACTGCTGAGAGGAGGTTTCTGGAGATTCCACGACGCCTGCGCACAAAAGGTAACTCTGAAGTCTGTACCCACAGTCACACAGTGAAACGTTTCTACTCTTACGAGGCCTTAAAGAGATGCTGAACCGAAATTAGTATTTCGCAAAATAAGGCCACAGAAGTGTTGAACGGGACGCTACGAACTCCAAGACCTCAATTATACATCGACATCTCATACTGATGGTCGTATTTTTGGAAAAGAGGGGCGCGATCAAGGCGCGGTCTCTGACGTCACGATCCTCCTGGAACAGTTGAGAATGAGGACAAGCGGCCTCGTTTCTCTCCTCGCTTCGGTTCACCAGCTCGATGGGACGAAGCGAGGAGGAGAAGGAATGAGAATCGTGACGTCACATGTGTCGTCGGCCTCGTCAGCCGTGTTCAATCGCGCATTTCTTCAAAAATATGGCCATCCGTTAAGATATATCACTGTATGAGTGGTGTTTTTGGGTTTTGCAGCGTCCCGCCTATCGCTACAGCCCTGTTTTGTATACCCTCGAAATTTCGGTTCACAAGTGTGTGAACGAAGTGTGGTTCACACACTTGCTACTGCTTACGACCGTGTGATTTAAAACATCTTAGAATCTCTCACGACGAGAGAACACACTGGCGCAATCTATCGGGTGGCCGTGGAACACATGCAGTTTTCGTATATTTCCTATATTTTTCGCTCATTCTTTTTTATTTGGTTTGACAAACTGTTTATAATGTTATTAACTTCCATTTCTCAAAGATAGTACGTAGCTTTTATCTCGGATATAAACGCTTTACAGCAGGTGTGCATGGGCGCCGCCATAACTGACCTTCAGTTTTTGTTCCCTCTTATTCCGTTCGCTTCACTTCATTACCCCAGCAGGACAGGTTATTGCCATTTTAAGTGTTAATGTGTCCTTCTCCCTAGCATAGGCCCCTGTGGAGACTCGTCAACGCCCGCTTCAGTGGCTCGGCATCTCGGTAAGACAAGAGAAGGGCGGCTATGGCGGCTCAATCTGGCGCGTCTATACCGCAAAACCCTCGCCCTAGTGCAGGGCCTCCGAGATCCCGAAGCGCGCGAACTTCGGGATCTCGGAGGCCATGCCTAGTGAAATGCAGTTCCAGAGTCAGCTCATAGATGGCGCCAGCGTTGTAGTCTGTTTTCTCGTCGGAAGAGATCACAAGAACTCGGTCGTAAGCAAACGCAAGTATGTGAACGGGCCTTAAGAAGATGCAGGTTTAGTGTCCCGGCTATAGAAGCGCCTATACAGATCCTACGACATCGACGCTTAGTGAGCCTGTCCTACTTAAAAAGGTAACTAAGGTGTCCGGGATGTTTCGCTATCGTTCAACGCATACACGCGGGAAAAAAAGGCAAACCCCGTAGAAGTGTCAGAGGATTCTCTCACCAGCAGGCAGTTCAAGGGTGAAGGCCTTCACGGACGGTCTGTACTGTTTCACGAGCACAAGGCAGTCGTACTTGAGCATGCGGTGCAGGATGGGAAGGGCGCACACCGCTGCAATGCAAGACAATCATAGCGTCAGCCGGAGCGTATCGGCAATGTTTCGTTGGCACGAATATAATTACAGATAAATGCTATCGCCACGGTCCGTTGTGGTTTTTGTTCAACAACCATTTTCACTTGGGAGAAAGATGACTAAAGACTAAAGAAGTGCGGAACTAGAACGCGACTGAATGTGAAAGCATAGTGATAGAATAGCACAGAATAAAGTTGGACGTCACACACGTGACACTGCGTGTGACTGAACTACAATATATTGTCAGTCCGAGTTTCTACGATATATATTAATGTCGTCATTATTGCTTATCACGGTTGGAGGGGGTTGTACAGGTCAGCTACGTAAGATTTCAATATGTTAGCGGGATGTTAAGTCTGGTGAAGGCCGACATACAAAAAGAGAATGCCCGTAATAAAACAAGTTGTTAGGAAATGATGGATGGTGACCGAACGTTGTGAACCTTCCATGGGCCCACTTTGCGGACGACATATCAGCGGTAGAACGGACACATGGGATGCTGCGCGCACACTACGTGGGGAACTCTATGTTTAATTGACCAAAGCTGAATATGATCATTGGGATCTCATGATGGCATCATAATCCAGATAGTCTCAAGCAGATGTCCAGTCGGATTCAATCATATAAACTTACAGTCTGCATCGGTATTCTTTGTCTTGTGGCATCTCTCGGCAACTTCCCAGATTCTAAAAAAAAAAAAAAAAAAAAAACACGAATGAAGACTGTTTTGTAAAAAAAACGCGGTCAAAATAATCCACACGCAAATTTCAACCACAGGAGGTTTACCAATGTTGGTACCACAAGTTTCACTGTCTCGAAGCAACAATTGACGTATGTCACAAGTAACGACAACCAATACAAATGACAAAGCACACTCCGCTGGAACAAAATGGCGACATTCAGTTCAAACCTCTGCTGTGCGCCGCCATTCGCTTCCTAAAACCTGCACCGTCACGCAGTCGGCGCTTCAAAAAATGTCGCTACTTCTAAGAAGCTCTTATCTAGAGACTTTAGACTTTCCTCTCATCCGTTGTCTGCCTCTACCTTTTCAGTTTCGGCGGTCACGTTGGTCACGTCTCGTGGCGATCTGCCAGGCTTTATGGTTGAGCGAAAGAGAGCACGTGAACGACGCGCACTCGTCGACTTACTTCTGCGTTCCCGATGCATCCACGTACTTGTACTTGGAAAGGCTCATGTGCTCACCACGTGCAATCTCCTGCGCAACATGAAAAGAAAAAAGAACACAATGAAACAACTCGCAACGTCAAAGGCTGTCAGAGATTGGCCTCGATTTCTCGAGTGCCGCGGTTACAGTGTCCTCATGGAGCATTGCATTGCACTGGACTCTCGAGATAGGCTTGGCGAACAGTGGCCCTCTGTCGGTCCCTGCTTTTACGCGTACACACACATAGCTCGTAATCAGGCTTTCGTTACAGATTAGGATGTCCGCAATCTCTTCCGGGGCTTTATGCCCGAACTGGCGCACGTACGCGTTTTCGCTGCACTTTATCTGCTGCGGTTGCAGATTACACACACGCTGATGCGGAGTGCTCGCTGTTTGCTTCGACGCCTAGGGCACTCGTGACACAACTTGTGCACGATGCTATTCATATGCGTTTTTAGAAAACACGAAGTTGGCAAGCCACCGATATAGAGAGACCGACATGTCGTAAACCGTTCCAAATGGATATCTTGTACGTGGACCTCTCAATCAAACATGCTGTATGGCTCTGAAGAACTTTACTCTTTGTAGTGATGCGTCGACGAAGCTTGGAATAGGCACTACAGCCCAAGAAACGCTGGCCGCGGCTAAAGCCACTGGGTTCCGTAGGAAGTAGAGCCATTGACCTGCCTGGGCCGGACACAAACAGATACTAGCATACACCAACCTAAACCTCGCAAGGCGATGGGCTGATTGGTCTCCGTTGCCATGGCAGTCGCCATTTCTGTCCCTTCAAATCTCCAAAAGGGTCGCTCTAACCGCTCATTCACACTGGAAGCGGATCCGCGTTCGCAAAGCGGTTGTGAACGCGGTTGTATAAAGATCAGACATCAAGTGCGTGTGAAATTGTACTGGATCTTTATACAACAGCGTTTGCAACCGCTTTGCGAACGCGGATCCGCTTCCAGTGTGAATGAGCGGTAAGCCAGTCGCGCCAAGATCGCTGGTGCATCAGTGTATTCTGAAAGCATTCCTCGCCAATATAAGCGTCCTTGGCATATTGCGTGGCAATCATGGTTATCTCCACGAATCTCTTACACGTATACATATTCTTCCTGCGTATACTTCAAGACAGGGAAACGACTTCTCAATGTCGCCAAGCACGGACTCCGCGTGTGCGTGGTTGGTTGCGAACTTTGCGCGCTTGTTTCGCCGGTGTGTGGTTAGTAAAACTAGAGTGCCTTCATACACACGCGCGCTTTTGCTTGAGTGGTGACATCTCAGCCATTTTTCCGCCCAATCGTTTTTTTATGCATTTTGAAGCGCGCGCAATCTGATGTCACTCAGCTCGAGCGCGCAGCTTTGGTTAATGCATAGGCGCCATTTTACCGACCTAGTCACGCACCAAGTGCGCGAGAGCGTCACGCGCTGGCACATTCAGGGCAACAATGGATGTCTTCACCCTTAGACAGACAGACATGTAGGCACCCTAAGTAAAACCTCCGGGAACTTGGTTCCGCTCACCAAGACTGGAGGAGGTGAAGGAGGAACTGCTCGTTCCATGGACCCCAAATGGCGACCACACGAGGAGCTTGTCGTATACTCTTGTCCTATACATCTCCGCAGCCAATCCGATTGCGGCATGAGCCCATAAGAACGCTGAAGAGCCAATTACGAAGCGAGAACATAGATAATAAGCCACGCCCCGTATTTCTTAAGATGCTAGTGACTGAAAGTTCAGTTACTCCTGCAGCACATCGGATAAAAGCTCGCCGGACAAAGGCTCAATGAACAATATAAGAAGGAGAGGTTCTTTGCGGGTAAAGCAGCGACCGGGACTGAACCATCTACAGTCACGGACAGTTTAAGAAACGCCAGGCGTGACGGATCTAGGTTATCTTATTCTGAGTTTTAGCAAACTGTTACAGTGTTCCGGGTATACGCACTACCGGAACCTTTGATGGCATGCTTTTAATTACGGCATCCCAGGCACGCGCTTAAAAGCACTCTTCAAACGCTCCAGTAGCGCGGTACGGGTACGCGGAACACGGTAACGGTTTGCTAAAAGTCCCTATTGATCCGCATCCAATAAGACTGCTGCGTCAACGGATAAGAAAGCCAAAGAACGAATCACGAAGAAAGACGCATGACGACAAGAGACTACGCCGTGTTTCTCACTATCAGTGACCATATACTTATATTTCATCCAAAAAAGCAGATATCGGCTAAATAACCAAAGCAAACATAAAATAATAAACGACAGAAGGTGAACGAAAAAAGAAAGCCTCGCCGTGAGCTTGGAGCGACGGCGACGCGTCGGTAAATCCTCTCGAACCTTGAAGCTTGCCATCGGCCTGCAGGGGCAATACCGGCCAGTTGGAACTGTTCGCACATCCAGCTATACCGACGAACATATAGTCCTTCACCGGGCTTCAAAAAGGAGAACGAGAGGGAAAGCAATAAAGGCACGTGACGACGTGACAACAAGATCGACCTTGACAGCCGAGCCAAGTTCCTCCGGTCCAGTCCGGTCGGCGCCAATCTATGGAACCTTAGATAAAAGCCCTCCCCCCATGAACCCTGATCGAGTGCCCGCGAGGACAGATGCGTTTTGTTTCGACGCTACACAACACACCCTCACTCACCTCTTCGCTTCCCAGTTGCCCACCCAATATTTCCGTCGATAAGAGCCCGGGGCTCCCGGGCTCCGATAAGGGAGCTCGCTGTGGTCCAACGCAGGTGGTATCAGCGGCGTAGGATCCACTTACGGCGAAGCCCCGCTTCAAGGGGGTGACGCCGCCCACTTTACGATACGACCGGCTATATTTGTCCTCTGGACCGCGTGCATGATCCTCAATGACGCCGGTTAGCCGATTAGAAACCTCCGGCGTCCTCTGCCAAGAGCGAGGACGATCGCTCCGTCACGCTATCGTTTTACACCGCGGCCGCGCAACGCGATAAGGAAACGCAAAGCGTTTTGGTCTTGTATATTCTGCTGCGTCATACGAGGGCTGGAGGGCCTGCCGCGAAAGATTCCTTTGATACCAATAATCGTCTGCTGACTCTTTCCGCATGACGAAGCACAGCGGGCGGAAAGAACATAATGGCTTCCATTTTCTTTCCAAAACATGCACTGTCACGCCAGTCGATGGGAGCAGCAAAGGGCGTCACCCTTCTGAGCACAGTTATTGGGCACGGAGCATGAACCTTTTCCACGAAACATGTCCATGCAGCAGGGTGGAACATAAAAATCGAAACATCAATATTTAAATAATGATATAAGTCGTGATTTCAATCGACATTTAAATCATACCACGGGTTTTTCCGCTCATTTGAATCCAAGAGATGGTCAATTTAATCCAAGTGCCATTCAATTTAATTCAAGCGCCATTCAATTGAATTCTAGAGTGCTACCCAATTTGATCCCGGGTAAGTCAATTTAATCCACAATATATTTGTCTTTAGTGGTCTCTTTCGCTTACACTTTCGACAACGTTGACTTAAAATGGCTTAGACTTCTATATTACTTCGACCTATTCATAAGACGATTTACATAATAAAAGTTCAAACATTTTTATTACTTTCTCGATTACAACGAGCTACTATTGACATGAATATAACTTCGTGGAAGCTCACTCGAGATTCTGATGACTTTTGGGTTATATAGCTAGTATTGACAGAAACAACTTTGTAGAAGCAACATTTTCATTACTCAGTCGATTACTTTGAACTATTATTGACAAAGGCTATTTCATATAGGTTCAGCTAAGATTTGGATTACTTATTCGATTAGGCCGTACTATTACTATTCACCAAATTGACTTTCAAACTCAATTAACTTAGTGGTTCCTTTTATCTTTCGCCGATATATTAGTCCCACAACTGAGTTTATATCAGCATTATAGACACAGCTTGATTACTTTGAGTAACTAGTGGCCCATTTAACTTCATATTGGTCTAGTACTTTGAGCTTTTATATAACCAAGCGATTTAATCTCAGCTCAGATACCATTATGATCACTCTTTTGATTACTTCGACTTAGTCTGATTCAGCCTCGACTTCATGATTACTTTTGACATTACATTGAGCAAACAATAGACTAACTGATTTATTATGAGCACGAATCACATCATGCTCACTCATTTGATTATTTCGAGTTACTATTGACCCAATGGAGTTTAATTCGCCCTAATTGGCAACTTGGTGGCTTGATTTTTTTTAGATAATATTCAACCAATTGATTCGTTATGACCTGAATTAATGTTATGATTAGTAGTTCTATTACTTCGAGTTATTATTTATTCAATATACTATGTCAGCCTAACTGACATTAGGTGTCTCTCTTGAATACTTCCGAGGCATTATGCAACCAGTTGATCGATTATTAGTTCAATTCACATTATTCTTGCTCTTTTGACTACTTCGAGTTGTTTGCTCTAGTATGGCGGAGATTCAGTATACTAAAAAGTTGTTAATTAGAGTGTACTCATTTACAGTGATTCTTACTTCTGCATTGTCATCAGTGATCGGACGCCATGTTGAACAAGTGGGTCTAGCGGTAATTAATCAATATTTTCTATACTGGAAGCTCCGCGAATCTTGCAGAATGTGCACATCCTAAAAGTCGCAATTCCCTATACCACTGTGATAAAACGCTTTTCATCGTCATAATACGTTCTTCTTTAGACGCGCGGTGTCGGTTACATTGCCGCTGTATATATATATATATATATATATATATATATATATATATATATATATATATATATAAAGATGGCCGGGACTCGCCATGACGTCCGCGCAATGTTTCTTGAGTCTTGAGAGATGACACTTCCTTGCTGTGCGCAGAGCGCAGATGTGCTGACGCTGTCTAATATTCATATCTCTATAGGGCCTGGTACCCCCCTTCGTGAAACAAACAACGACGTCGCATATCTGAGGCCTTTGAGCGATTAATGCCTCTCTTTTTTTCCTTCCGTTGTGACTTTGTGAACAACGGTAAGTTCGTTCATGCCCTGGGTACTTTTCCGCTGAGGTTATATACCTGATATGTCGATGGGCGATAGCCCGACAATCGAAAGGCTCTCGTACTCTCAAGTCGCAGAACATTGCACGAGAAACGCGGGACCGTATGAAGAAGCGTATACAGCGGAAGACCCAGTTTCTTTGGTTTTTTTTTCTAAATAATTTTAAATGCTGAAATGCCTGTCAAAATGTTCCGCACTTTTTTTTTTTTTTTTTTTTTTATGTGAGACGAGTGTCTTAGCCTAAAAGGTTAATAGTCTTCAGAGTGTTGCTGTGACAGACAGAAATTCAATCGGAACTTCGCATTGCCACCCACTTTCTCTCGCATATGCCTCTAATATAGAAGCCACGCCAAAGAAGTCATGCTGAAGCCAAAATACTCTTATGTTTAAACAAAAGCCGACATTACACAGCAGTGTCATGCACTGGTATCGGAGGCTAAATGGAGACAAACGCATTCATGCCATGTCAAATATAAAAGGAATGCCAATTAAAAAAAAAAAAGTTAAAATTCTAGAAATTTATATTTTAATTGCTGCAAACATAATTTTCAAATCGCAAATAGAGATCGGCATTACTTTTCTAAACCGATGCCTAGTTTATTTTTAAACAAAGGTCGAAACGAAAGCTACACCTCATCCTTCCTTCCGAAGAATTATTTGAAACCAATAACACGTAATAACCTATCCGCACACCTGTTTCCGGCTCCTGCCAAGGCTTGTGTCATTGTTTCATTATAACACAGACTGAATTGCACAGTAATCAACTAGCTGATCAGAGACCTTTCAGAGCTTTTTGACGGCGCCTGCACTTACAAAGTGTATATATTAAAGGATTAGGCTGCGAGTTGTAGGACGCTGTTGCAGAAACTGTGGTGAGTTCAGTCCAGTAGTTCAGTAGTCACTTCTTTTATATTGTACTAAAAGCCACGAGCACGAACCTGTTGCGACTTGCAGTGAAAGCACGTGCCAAGACTTCTAACATTTATGAACCAGTGTCGACTTCTGATGGCTGATCTACTAAACGCTTTTATATTCGATCTTGTCAAGGGGTTAACACGTATATGGGCTAGAAAAAATAGTTATTTTGGAAATTAAATTATCTTTCGAAGCAAAGGGAATTGACCCATAACCGTTTCTGATGCCGCGCGGTCCTAACCTCTCACTGAAACGCGCGTTAAAAAGTTGTTGCCTATCCGTGTTAAGTTTGTCTGTTCACTGGAAAACAATTTTGCCATCTATAAAACATTGACGACTGCTTTTAACATAAACAAAAAAAAACTGAGCGAAGGTACGTTTGTATACATGTTGTGCTGTACATCCCCGCGAATCCTTTGTGGTCAAGCAATCTCGTCAATCTGAAGAACCTCTGGGATGTACCTTCCAACATGATAAACGATAGGGGAGCTATATCTATGTCACTCGGGATTATAACAGCATGGAAAGTATACATCACGACATATACTTCTGAAACAAGAGATTTTCCGGCTGTTCCTCTTTGCGAACACTTAGGAAGGTATGGTGATTGAGGAATAACAGAAGCGTTTCGGGGCACTTGTGTGTGTGTAATGCTCAAATTTGTGAGATGTTCTATTTTGTGTTCTTTTTCTTCCACAGGCTGTGACAATTATGTAAATGGTAATAACGTGTAGGTATGTGGATCTTGGTCAAATTGTGAACCAAGCTTGTCCGAAAGAACCGAAGTTGGCCTACACCTGTTCTAATGACCGCTACTGTGCCGAGCAGTGACTAATTAGCACAGCTTGTGGAGTCCTCAGTCCATGGGGTATACGCAGGGCAGTAAGTCCACGAGAGCATATAAGCCACGGTCGAACTGCTAAAACATCATACAAGAGACCGTCTGCACGCTGTCTGAGGCCTTCCTTGTATGGCGGTCATGTCAGATTGTTCGCTCAAAAACTGCCTGCAGACGTGTTCTAAGCACACACACGTATGAAACAAATATAGATCGAATTTGAGGCGCGTCCGCAGATGTCATCATGCATCTACGGGGAACAGCGTTTCTCTTGTATGATGTGTATACGTACGAGCAGTAAGTATATGATTGCGGCTTGACAAGAAAGGTTCTTTTTCCGACTCACCTCCGAGGAGACGTGGGTGAACTTTTTCTTGTCGATCCTCTTGGAGTGTGACGGAGTCGGCGACGGAGCCATCGCAGTCCTGTTGGCATTGAAGTAAGACATGGCGGGAATCAGCGCTGCGGTGAATCACAAGTGCGCCGCGTCGCGAGTCACAACAACAATCACAAACGTGTGAACGAGGGGAGGAGTCACTCTGCTGACGGGTTTCTTGGCAGCCGTTCTTTTAAAGGCTCCGCTACGCCGGCCTACGCCGCAACTTGGGTCCCTTATCGAGTCTCGCCAGAGGGCGACATTGGCTGCCCGGCTGCCAACTTGTGCGAACTTTGAGACGGCCGCGAGAGAATATCTTTTCCCCTACTTCTTTTTTTTATTTTTTTCGGGCTTTGCTTTGCGCAAGTGATACGTGATTGTGAGCGCGTGCGCGCGAAGGACGCATTTCCTGCGCGGAGTCGGCGCTTCCACGTGTTCCGGTCATGATCGACGACGGGTCTCTCGCTCCGTCGGTCCAAGGAGCCACGAACGATACCATCTTCTTGCGCTTATGGCCCACTATCTTCGTATACTCAATTTCACAGACTGCTTTTAACCGTGAATCAACTCATTCGTTTGTTCATCGTGGGAAGCTGCAAGACCATGCTGCGAAGGGCGTTCTAAAGGGAGATTTGCGTGCATTCATTTGTGGGGTAGTTAGTGGTACGTGCGCGGCTTCGGACTCCGATGTCTCGCGATTCCTGTGCCGAACGTCACCTTGCTCGGTACAATACTGCTGACAACTATTTGGGACACAAGTTTGGGTCAAATTCGTACGCCCCCCCCCCCCCCCCCCCCCCCCCCCCAACCAGAACAGACTAGAATTTTGACCGGAGCGCGCGTCCACAGACAATGATATATTTTTTTCTTCAGAAGTATACGTGCTCCAGCTTGCAGAGGGTTTGTTAGTTGTTAGGCTTTGCAGGACAGGGGTATTCGGGGCACAAATGAAGAGGGCCCCTTCCACGAGAGTGTAAGGGCCCTCTTCATTGTAAACACAGGAGGGTAACGGATTTTGCAGGAAGACCAGTCGGGTTGTACGCCTCAGTTGTAAGTTAAAGAATACGTCCATTTGATAGGTATACTTTAATTCGTAAAGGACAGGGTGCATCATTTCATCGCTGATGCTACTGTTCGTGAAAAAAAAACAAAAAAAACAACGTATTTTTATAACGAGAATAGGCACCGATTCGCATTATCCGTGCGCTCTTCATCTGAGAAAGTTCTGATATGCCGATTCGTGTACAAAAGGCCCATTCACACTGTAGTTTTCTTGCACTTTCCTGTGCTACTTTCTGACAGCCATTAACAGGACATCCGTGCTTCATGTGTCGCGTGGAACTTTTGCAAACGCTATATAAGACCCCTCTCAAAAATCCGCGCCTGTCCGCCATTGCTTCATCACGTGCTCTGCGCAAGTACTGGACACGAGGCTGCGTGGCTGCGTGAGCGTTCGGGCGTGAACTCGGATGGATGGATGCTAACGGCTGTACCCTTTATATCGGGCGGCAGCTTGCGCCACCTAGCCAAACAATATCGACCGCCAATGTTGCTTGCTGAACTTTTGAAAATGGGCTAATACGAACCACGGATGTGCCTTCCCTGAAAAACGGCCGTGTGACGGGCCTTTCGGAACGATTGCCTGTTTCAAGTTTGAAAACGCTATGGCGGTCATGAGTCGCGAATACAGTATCTGGGGGCTTTAGTATTGGCAGAAGCTGGTCTCCGAGCGCCGATGAGGCCGACGACTGCAAGCGCGAGCTCTATGCTTTTGAACGGGCCGGGGCCGCGCACGAACTCCCGCGGTGCAGAAACACCAACTGAAGCGATGGACCGCAGCGGACCATCCCAGCCAATCCAGCGGTGCGAACAATCACGTGACTACGTGCGTCGCACGCACGCTCCCCTCCTGGAGGCCACGCACGCGACACCCACACGGCACTGGATCGACTCCGACGGCTCGTAATCTCGTCTGCGGTCCATCTCAAACGGAGAGTGAATGGTAATGCGGAAAAGCGCCTCCAAAACTGTCCCTCCGCGATGTCGCCGAGACGATTGAGAGAGCGAGATGTTTCGATATGCATCGTCTAAGGCGCACCAGTTGGAAAACGATAGGGGAGGAAGCGGAAAAGGTGTATAGACGGCTACTTCGTGAACAGCATTCTTTAGTTCCGAAGGATACGTGGGCTACAAGTGAAGCTTCTCGATGCAGTAGCAACGACTTTTACGAGTAAGGGACAGTCTACGCCCGCGACGAAGCACATGGGAAGAAACATGGCGTCTTGGCATGCGGAGCGTTTTCAATTTGCCCCTCCCCCTGGGAAAAGTTTGGGACGACTCTTTGAAAGAGATGCCCCAAACGTGGGTAATTCCCTGGATAACGTAGGATAAGCATGCTGACGGCATAATACCTAAACAAATGTCTGCTATTGTGACCTTATAAATTAGCTGTCATTGCAGTTCTAATCAGCGAATTCCGTGGTTCAAGCGCACTGGTCGTAATGAATTGTTTCAGCGTTTGAGAAAACAAAATGGGGCTTACAAAACGTATTATGTTGTCTGCTTCCGTGGGCTGCAAGTCCGCCAGAGATGCCACCGTCGTCATTCGCAACTAGGGATGGCTCTAGTGAGGGTAAGTGCAACTCCAACCTGGAGAGCGTTTGCAATTTAATGGCGGCGCCTGAGGGAGGGGGTCGGGAAAGGATATGCGCCAATGTTGCCGGCACGAGAGCAGACGCCCGCTCTGTTGAAACTGGTTGCAACTCTGCTGCTCCGATGCGCCTTTCCTCCTCTCGCCTCCCATTGCAAGCAACGAACGCCATGGCGCAGCCTTTCTCGCTTCCTTCTCGCTACAGGAATTGCAAACGTCGAGAAGAGATTGCAGGGTTGCTCGACAAGCAGCAACCTTCAAGATGGCGGAATTTACCATTTTTCGCGTTAAACAAATACTAAACCCCTCGGAACAAAACTGGTGGCTATGGAGAAGTACTCATTTATACCTTGCGTAAATTATTCAAGCACATTAATGGGCTCTTATGACCTTAGGAAATAAAACGACCCTTTGCCCCATAGACTCCCAGCCAAATTTAGCAATTAAATGGCGTCCGTATCCCGTGATCCCCGATCTAGCAGTTGCACCCACCCTCACTTGAGCCTCCCTATTCGCAACTACTTCCAATGGCTTTCGAAGGAATTTCCAGCACTAGCCTTTATCGTATATGCTATTACTACGTAGGGTCTTCGAACAGGACAGCGCGAATAGTTAGAAAAATGTATCTACAGGGCGCCAGCTATCGATATGTGCGTGCACCAGGGCGCACAGATGAGATTAGTGAGGTGCACCCACAGGTTCCGGAGGCTATGGGACTTGCTCTTCTGAAGATCTTGGGAAAAGGGGTGGGGGCGGGGGGTGGGGGTTGGGGCCCCCAAGCGTTTCCGTAGTCGGCGCCTATGCTTCTTGGGGTCAATATCCACAAGGCGGAACCAAGCGAAACCGGGGCATAGCCGCCTGCTGTGATTGGTCAGCTCCGCAGCGCTGACCAATCGCGGCAGGCGGCGATGTTCCAGTTTCTTGCTCCCGTCGTGTCGATTAGGGCCTTCGGAGTTCATTCTGCTGCCGTTTATTAGTCATCACTGCAGTGGGGCAAAATCAAATGCCGGATCACAGGGCTGCGACCGTCTGCGCGGCGTCTAATCTTCCTCGGAAGAGAGCTGCTGCGCATGTTCAGGACCCGTTCCACAGCCCGGAAGATAAGATGGCGGCGCGTACAGAGGGAGATTTTTGTAATGGACTCTATAGCATGTCACTGACAGGTTGAAGAAGCGCAGGGCGTGGGGAGGACTCGAGCACCTCATTATCGCTCCTGAGCCAATCAGATTGCAGCATCAGCTGATAAGACCGCCTCAGAACTCTAACAACTTACAAAGTCCAAACGTCACGAGTACCTTTTTTTTCCTTTTGTTTGTTACTATTCTTTTTTGCATAAGCGGTAAAAGAGTACGATTCACGTATGTTCAACGAACTAATGTGAATTTTCTTCCATGAGCCCATTGTCGTCGCTCAAATTGCCTCGGAGAGCTCTACATCGTCCACGTTGCGTCTTGGAGTATCTTTCACGAGGAAGTCTGACTCGAGAAAGTCGTCAGTTCGAGTTGTTCAACTCCTGGAATACACCTTGTCATTGTAAAAGCGCCTTTCGCGAAAGCGAGAGACAGGTGGCGATATAAAGGTGGATGATACCTCGTTTAGAGCTGAGAAAGTACTCGGCGGCTGCGGGCTCGGTTCAAGACTCTGTCAATGAAAGGGACACGACGGGCTATTTATGATCGCCAAGGTTTTTATTTGAACATGACCTAGAAGAGCCCAACTACCCAGAGCACAATTTGCGGCTCAAAATTCGTTTTTTTTTTTTTTGTCCGGAAACAGCCAGTTGGGGATTGGCCGGTTTGAGGTTCGCTCATTCTCTTTTCCATGGTCACGCCGTTCAAACTAGCGTACCGAATCTATTCAAAGTCGTGGGTCATCTAAGGCACACATTTAATATTAAAGTAAAAAATAATCGCAGAACGCCCGAACACAAGAAGCCACGCCCCGAGTCTCTCAAGATGTCACTGTAGGAAAGCTATATGCGTGCGCCCTTTGGTTGGCCAACTTGAGCTATGGCTTCTATATGCAAATAGCTACGCCCGGTAGGTGACCGACCAAAGTACGAACGCCCTCTCATATCGGCGGCTTCGGTCCCTATCGTTACGGAGTGCGTGCTAGCTCGGGTCCACGAGTGGGCTATAAACAGCAGGCAACGAAAATAGCACCGCGCCGGTCTTCGTTATCGGTGAGGCTACGTGCTATCCGCCACGTCCGCAGTACACCGCCCGCGGGTGAATAAAAATGCATTTATTCCGCGAAAACATCCTCCGCCGGAACGGGGCAAAGGAACTTAGCAGGAGTTGCAAACCTTACGTCAATGGAACCATACGAGGCGTCACGAGCTATATGCCAATACCACGTGGAAGACAAAGCCTGTACCTTCTCCCAAACGTCATCACCAGCATGGACCCACGGTGGAGCCGCGTCTTGCCGTGGGTCCATGGTGGTGATGCAAGACCGTCAGCAAGACCGTCAGCGTCGCCGCCAACGCGTCTTGGCAGTGTCTCACAACGAGTGCGACGTTAGCGCGCGGCGACGCCAAGACGGACGCG